TTCATGACTTACCAAACAATGTGTAATCAACATCGAGGACCAACAATTTCTTCCCTTCTCGTGGAGGATTCAGTATTTCTACTTTGTACTCCTTAACTCTGCGGGAGATTTTTAGCAGGTTCTCCTCCCTAAACACAAATAATATAAGCATCATGTAGTTGTAATTTCTTTAACTAACCGTTCACTTATTACTCTATACATTGACTCACCGATTTTCTACTTCAACAACTTCCTCTTCAATATCAAAATCATTGACTACATCTTCATTATCAGGAGGTGGCCCAAGGACATCTTCCTATAATGAAGGTAATTTTTAAAAAAAATTAGCATGGAAACAGTCATGTGTTCTCCTAATTTGGTGGATCACAAAAAAATAAAAATAAAAAAAGGCAGCCACATAGCTATGGAGTTCTGGCTTATTATGAACTGAATTGCCTGCTGCAGCATAACATCCCTTCACTCCCACTTGATTCCTCCTGCAGATGTAAACTGAAAATCACCTGCAGAGTTGTTACATTTAAAAATGCTGGGATTTGTAAGCAAAGAACAAAACTCAGATAACCATTCAAGCCTCTGAAACCCACACAAAAGTAGGATCTTGGCTTATAGGGCAAGAAAAGGGGAAACTATTCATCCAGTCTAAGTTTTCTGATATTAAAGGCTCCAACACTTTTGTAATCTTTTCCACTTCAAGCAATGGGAGAAAAAGTTCAGGTCAGGACAAGTGTTGTACTAAATTTCTCTCCAGAGGTGTCATGGAGGGGTAAGAGAGCTTGGCTGCAGTATCTCCCCTGTTCTACCATGTGACATGGTACATGCCTCAATCCTCCCTTTTCTTCCTCTCTCCTGATTTTAGGAGAGCGACTGGCGAAGGAGGGAATGGGAACGTTTGTACCGAAACCAAAAGAGGGGACAGATCCTGGAGCTCCTCTTTCAAGGTTGGAACATTCTCACAAGCCTTGAAGAAGAGAATCCAATGTCCAATGGCCCTCAAGACATTATCTTAAGAATCAAAGGACTGCAGCCTAAACTAATGATTTCTGGATAGCTACAGAAGGAGTTAACAGAGAGTAAACATGGTGAATAAATTGACACCATCCTTACAGTAAACCAGCAGCTGCCATTTAATTAAAGGCTACCAGCCAACAACAAAATGAACACGGAAATAAACAAAATGGAAAGCAAACAGTACAGTATTCTGTAACCTCACATGGTATGTAGGAATCTTGCATATGGAATAATAAATTTGGCCCATTAATATGTGGTCCATTAATACGTATTGTGCAAAGGTAAATACTTACACAAAAGACTACACTGAAAGTTTTTACTTATATTTGCATAAGCAGGCTCTTAGATCATTTTAACATGATTTTGATGGTTTCATTTTAATTAGATTTTTAAACAGCCATTAGAAGTTGGTATGTGTGTTTTAATAGAGCAAGAAGATATTTTACCAAGCTTTCCTCACGAGTCCCCATCATCATGATTTTCGTATTTGGTTTCAATTTTAATGATCCAAGCTTCACATCATTTTCTGCTGGCTTGCCTGCAATATAAACAGATTAGACTTCTTCAGTGAGTGTATAATTTCCTCTTCTTGCTTATTCTGTGTGGCATTTTTGAATCATTGACACATTAAGATCAATGATGCAAAATGTCCTCTTAACCATTTATTAAAAATAAACAATGTCAACAAAATTCTTTCTATATAACTTCTCTACTATGCATGCTGAAAGGCATCAATAAATCAGTAAGAATTTTTTTGGCTGCTTCTCTAACACAGCTTGGTATTTACTGTGTTTCAGTCAGTCAGGAAACATTCCTCATTCTTTTCAAATAAGAACAGCTGGTCTGAAGAGCGGCTAGGGCTTACATTCTGGGGAATTTTCTACTTCTTTTTCTTAGGTATCTGAAATCCCTGTTAATTTGCACTTTGGTTCTTTATGTAAGACTACTGCAAACATAATATAGACAATGTAGAACATTAAGAACAATCTGCACACTACTGATGCAACATACATACTTTCTCAGCTTTTCCTGCTAACACAAGCAGCTAAATAACCTAGAAATGATGTGTTTACTCTATGATTTTAAACTCCAGACCTGACCGTTACAGCCAGGCTGCAAACAGTGGTTTGTGCTTGCTTTACACATCCTACACATCCTGGTTTCTTTGGGTGCTAAAAGCAATTTATTCATTCAACTTGTACGGCTGTCCGACTCACGAGCATGACCTCAGGGTGGAGGTAAGGTGGCTAGCCAGGGCCCAGCAATGGCTTATCAGTTGGCCAACCCCTGACTCGCCATGCTTGGAGCCACTAGATCAATTTATGTCTCCCTTGTACTGTGCACTCAGGGATGGCCCTGCCCCACCTATCACACATCCTACTAGGACCCCAAGTGTAAATAATACACCCTGTAAGAGCCAGTGTGATATAGTGATTAAGGTGCTTGACTAGGATCAGGGAGACCCAGGTTCAAATCCATTCTTAACCATGAAAACTCATCGAGTAACCTTGGGCTAGTCAGTATCCCTCAGTCCAACCCGCTTCTCAGGGTTGTTGTGGGGAAAAAATTAAGGAAAGTATGCTACGTAAACTGCCTTAAGTTCATGAAGTAAAGAAGGGATGTAAATCTAACAAACAAATGTATAGATAAATCATTTAATTCATTTAGCCAATATACCACTGAAAGATCCTAAGGGGGAATAAACAGAGATCTTCATAAACAAATATGTCTAAGGCTACAATCCTAGAGATAGGTTCATCTCTTTATCTGTTGGATAGATATAATTTTTATCAAATGTTTAACATGTTTCAACAGTATTTCATTTTTTAAATTGATATACATGGAATATGTCTACATTAGGAAGCAAGCTTCTTTGAAAACAAGATACGTACACACATGCACAGAGAGAGACACACATATATATATATACATGCATACATATAGGCAATAACATTTCTTTGATCTCATAGAACTAGTCTGAGAATTGTCTATCTATCCCTCATACTGGTAGCATAAGATAAGATCAGAGGAACAAAACCGAATCACTGATTAATTTTTTACAGATAATCTATTACCTACTTGATTACTGGAATTCTTACTATAAATTCCAAAATACTGAAGACCAGAGGCATTTACTGAGTGAGGCATTTACTTCATTAAACAGCACACACATATAAATTAGTTGCACATCTCTATATGTATTAACACGTCACTGGAACATTCTGTTAAAAAGAGGATGGAATACTGTTGATTACACAAGCCTGACATTAGCCTGCCTCTTGTACAGTGTGCAAGAGATAAACCTTGGACCAGGGTTTATATTAATTTTTTAAGAAGTGCTTTAACATTTAATCATTTTAACCACCAGCACTATTGCAGCCACCTAACTCAACAAAAAAAGACAAGGAGCAGATTACCTTTTACTTTAAGTCCCAGAAGTTTTTGGCGTTCTGGTAGCACTCCTGTGAGTCCTTTGAGTGACTGCTTGAGATCCAACACCGTGTCCTCTTCTGACAAGGTGGTTATTAAAAATTCCTGCCCACCCCATTTTATAATGAGAGACACAGCCATAGTTGTAACATATGTTGAAAACAATCCTATGGAAAAGCAAAAGAAATAACGGGATAAATGATCAGACAATTCCAGATATCTAACCTTTGTCAGATATAACAGGAAAAACAACCTAAAGACTTAAATTTGAGCTGTCGTCCTCAACACACTTAATGGGACTCACTTTTCAATAGATACATATCTGATTGCACTGTAACAAATCCAGTACATCATTTCTGTGGTATCTTTCAGACTGGTACAGTAGAGGCTCTTTTACACAATGTCCTTCTCCCAACTTTAATAAAACAGACTCTCAGGAAAGTATGCATAATAGAGAGGTCTTTAGAAAACAGAGGGAAAGAAAAAGTGCCAGGGAAAACAACATAATCATATTGCTCGTATACAGATCAACTACCAGATCACAAATTCCAGCAAAATCTCCAAAAGAGTGTGGCGTTTTAAGCAAACAAAAAGTTAACATTAGCTTGTGATACATAGAACCTTATATATAATCAGTACCATACAAAAGATTATTCTCACTAACAATTCTTTAATAAAGAATCATATATTTCAAAGACAGACCAGTCTCCCCTTGTCTGAATAACTACTGGAATCTGATTCAAGCAAATGAAGACTAAACAATTTGCAAGAGAATCCCACCAGAAGCAGAGCATCTACTTTTATCTACTTCAAACTTCCAATGCATTGGTACAGTAGAGGATTTTCTCAGTTTAACACTACTATCACTTCAGTAAATCATCACCACTGCATTTACATTCAGGATACACGCATCGAGCATCCTGCCTAATAGCTTACTGAAGGTTCTCTACGTTTAGGAAAACTGTTAGCAAGAAATGGCTTTCCACAGTTGAGAGATTTTGGAATCGCAGCATTAAGGAAGATGTCTCTTATTTCAACACAAACACTTTAAAAAACATTTCGAAGCATCAAGATTAGTCAAGTCCGCATCTATATCATTTAAGGGGTATAGCGAGCGGCACCCCTCTAACCGCAGCGTTTTCATTCATAGAGAAGTTTAAGCAAGCATGAACTGGAACTGGAACTCAGAACATAAGTTCTGCATGCAAAACCGCCCACGTGCAATCTGTGGCACTTCCCAGCCGGTACTAGGAACGGCTCTCTCCTGAAAGCCCTGTGCGGGCAGCACCGATCGATTTATTACAACGTTCTCGTTTTTATAGAACGCTGCTCCTCCCATCAACCCGCTTATGCACGGAATAACAGCATAAGCAACAGTGGGCGCGATTCTCTTTCCGCTACCCTCTTTTATATCATCGCGCTAGGTTTTGTCCCCTTTCTCTCCAAACGGAAAGCACACCCCACGGCGCACAGGTTTAGAAGGTAGATCCCACCAGGCGACCAGGGCACGCTGACTCGGGCAGAAACTGAATTGCAGAGAGCGTATCTCCCCAAGACAACCTGGGCGCCTCGGAGAGCCCTCGGGCTCTGCGCGGAGGGAGCAGGTCCACCTGCCGATCGCGAGCACGCGGACGATGGAGAGGCTCCCCTCCCGCGCGCTCCCTGCCCACAAGGGCTACCCTTCCTGCCCGCGCCAGTCTTTCCGGAGTCGGGGGATCCCTGCCCTCCGGGAACCGGACTATTAGCAGAGGCAGTTCCATCTGGCACCCGCGCAGCCGAAGAAAGGAGAAGAACCGGCGACCCTACCTCGCTCCTGAGCGACCTCCCCGAAAACCAGACCCCGGCAGTCAGGGCCCTCCGCGAACCGGAAGCACTTCCCGAAGGACTCGGCTGCAACGGCCGGGTTGCAGAAACGCAGAGACAAGAAAAGAAGAGTGGGCCATCGGAGGCTCGCACGTGGGACTTCCGAGTTTCGGTTCACAACCTGGTTTTCCTTTGGAGAAGCGAGCTCTGCCCGTGAAAGTTAGGAAAGAGGTCCAAGCCGTTCTCTTCTCTCTCGGTGATAAAAGGCTCCTCCAAAGAAGAGAGTGCACCTCTAAGTTAGATCTTATTTTGTGTAAAGCATTTTGTGTTTATTTTATATTTGTGTGTTTATTATACTATGTCACAGATACCCAGAGAAATGAAGATGTACAATAAATGTAATTATGAACAAAGGGGATGACATGTCTGTCCATATGATTTTCTGTCACTTAAATTGTCCATGGTGATATGAAAGTAGTTAAAGATGGTTTGCATAGAGCACTCCAAAGAGTAGGAGTAATAGAAGAACTGGAGATGATTTTTCAGAAGAAAGGATCAACGTTTTGAACGAATGAGATCTAGAAGAAAAAAATACCTTGCCAGGCAATATGAATGAGCCTCAGACTCAACAAATTCCAGCATACCATAGACAACCTCAAGGAGCAACTGGACCAAACCATGACCCCAGAGCACACAAATATACTGACAAACACCATCAAGACCACATCCCTAAGACAAGCTGAGAAAAGAAAAACAAAACTTCAAACTAAA